CACATTCTTTAAAAAAATACCTCACCTGATATTTTTTACAATTATTCATAATGAACGTTATGGCGAAATGTCAACCTTAACTTTGTYGCCCTGACCTTAATTCAGTCCAAAACGTGCCGGTGTTTCTGACAACTTCTGATCGATACGGTTTATTTTTTAGTCTACTTCAAATTCATTTTTTGTTACCACCTATAAGCTGAAACCTCTACAAAGCTCATGGATACCCAAAATGGTCAATAAATTTTGATATTAGCTCATCTGATCGGCGACATTTGACCCAAAAGAAGAGATTTACAGCTCTGAATCGCTCCGTCTTTTTGTTGCCCGTCGTCCGCCATTTTGTTTTCGAAGCAATCACAAAATTTCGCGCATGCGCAGCGGTTTTTGAGCCGTGTCCTCGACACTCGACATGCTACCCTCGACCCTCGACCCTCGACAAAAAGCCAAACTCAGTGGTCAGTCGTCTACTACAACAAGAACATTCCTTCTTTTGTACTTACTCTTATTGCCGAAGAAATCGGACGGTTTTTTGGTTATGGAGGCAGAACAAGAGATCAAGACGATGAAACTATGTAAGCTATAGTTGAGTGGTCTTGCACACACCCGTTTGCACCCTAGGTCACTTGAGACGATCGAAGACGGAATGTAAACAAATTTTTTGCGCCTTTTTAATTCCTTTTTCAAGCTTTTGACTTAACTTCTTTATATTTTGAATTTTAAAATGTTCACCCAGATTAATTTTGAGGTGTTTATTGCATTTGAAAATGGATTTTATGCACGTCTTATCGAGCGACTGCTCGAAAGATTGTTTGTTGTTCGGAAAGTCGCGTCGGCTATAGTAACGGATATATAATGTTTCAATTTGTAGATCATGATGTTGAAAGAATTTATAAAGAATTGAAAGAGGTATGTTCAGTATTGTGTGAAGTCATCGTCGTTTTCACATGCAACAACTTTCCGTGCTAGCAGAGTCTCTTCCTTTTAGTTTGTTGGCAACTACAACATGAGAGACCTTGCTATCCCAGGGCCGTAACCAGAAGATTTTTTGAAGGGGGCACTCCAAGTAAAAACGGAACTAAAACTAATATAAAGACTCTTTATATCATCTTTTTAATATAAATGCAATATGGAATCTTTAACATCAAACAAATGAACCTTTGAACCTATGTTTTTACAGTAAAGTAGAAACTTTTTTGGAGTCATTGTTTTATTTTTCAAGCAACAAATGGTGATAAAAAGCGGACCTTTTGGTCTAAAGGGGGGGGGGGGCACGTGCCCCCAGTGCTCCCCCCCTAGTTACGGCCCTGTATCCGGGAAGCTACAGCTATATTCAAGAAATACATAAGAGTTGCGGTTTGCATATATTGAAAGGGTAAAAACCCCACGGTTGTTTTAGGACTGGAAACTAGGCTTTACAAGCATGTGCAACATGTGCAAGCATGTGTCCGACATGGCATTTCCCAATCTCATCCCCAGATTTGGCCTGCTTATCCCCATTTTATTCATGTGTGACATCCTAGGTCTTGACCTTACCCGGGGGGTACTCCCCTATATTTGCTATATGGGTATGTGGCGCTCCAAGGGTCCCTTTTTCGGAGCTCCAAGTCTGGGATAGGGTATCATGTTTTGCCCATTTGTCAGGGATAGGGTTATAGTAGTTTTGTCTGGGATAGTGTAGTTTTTTTTGTCTAGGATAGGGTATAGTATCATTGTCTGGGGTAGGGTGGAGTTTTTCCTGTGATCGTATCTGCTAGGTCAAGCTTTCAGTGCTAAAATAATGTACCATTGTACCTTTAGTCTGGGGTAGGGTAAGTAAAATCTCAAAAATTGGTCTGGGATAGGGTAAGGGTTTTGAGGGTTGTGCAGCACATCCCCACCCAAGTTGGAGGCGTAGTACCCCCCTGGTGACCTTACAAATAATGTATTTTGATCCTGAATAAGACGACACAACTTTTGCCTACAGCTATTGCATGCGATCTGCGAAAGTCATTCTTACAACATGGCTACAACTGTTGTGGGGCTATAAATCACTGTTTAAAACGACAGTTGTAACTATGTTGTAAGGATGACTTAAGCAGGTTGCATGTGATGGTTGTAAGCAAACGTTGTGTCATCTAAATCGACCTTTTCAATATTTTATCATTTTACAGCTTGGGTATAGTATGACTGACCCATTGAAAGTTGAAGATGTATCTAAATTTGATGAATATCACTATTATGGAACGAGTGCTGTGATGGAATGCATCAAAAGGCTTGGATTAAGGTTATCATTAATGTTATTTCAATGATTATTAGTTTTTATGT